TTCTCACAAAATTCTGTGAAGCATTACTTTCTTTGTACAGAAGGATATAATTGAGACTTAGAGGTTAGACAACAAGTGGTAGAATAAGTGATCTTTCTACCTACAAGGTTCATACTCTTATCTGCTCTATCATGCTGCCTTTCTACATAATTTAGCCTCAGCTGATCTTTCCAATCACATTTCTTATAATAACCACACCCCAGCCACCCCAGCCATAAAGAAGTACCTTTTGATTCTCAAACTACCCAACTGTCCAGGACTTTCAATATGCTGTTTCCTTTGCCAGAAATCCCTTTTTAACTCTGTGCATCTAGCTCACTTTTGACACATTCTTCTCACTTTCTCTAAACAAGTTCTCAACCTTGGCTGGACAGGACATGCTGTGATCAATGCAGTTTGATTTTCTAGGGGTAGAACCCAGAAATTAGCATTTAAAAAAATCTCTTCCAAGACTGAAAAGCAGTGTTCCAGGTGAGTTTCCTGGAGACTCTGGCAAGCTTAACTTAATCATCTTCTGTTTTTATTAGACTCTGTCTAGCCCTTTACTTTATGGAGAAGGAAATGGCAACCCATTCCAGTGTTCTTGCCTGGAGCATCCCAGGGATGGGGTCACACAGAGTCAGACACGACTGAAGTGACTTAGCATTAGCAGTAGCAGCCCTTTATGTTAACACTCATCACACTACCAGAATTTTGTCTTAGTGTAACTATCCTTACCTCTGGAATGTAAGCATCCCAAAGGCAGAAATTATACTCCAATACAGAGGTTTCTGAATATGTGTTATGCACTGGTCCAGTATGTACACAAATACATACGCATGTATATTCAAATAGTTGAAACCAAAGCTTCACAAAATAATACTGACTCTTATTTAAGAGGGATAGACTCTTGTAATTTTTGCATTCTACTAATTTTATTCCTTTCTGTTAAAAAATGTGAATTGATACTCATTAAATTGATTACATAACCTAGTTCTTTGAACTATGCTTGAAAAACATCTCTCTAATTATATTTGTAATGCTAGTCCTAACCCCATGCTAGACATCTAATGGTGTTTACTAAAGATCTGATGAATTAATCAACATTTTTATGGAAATTTAATACATATGTATATATGTATACATTTATATGTTTTGCATATTGTCAAAAATGGCAGAAAGATATCACTAGGCAAAATAAAAACATCAAAATAACCTTTCATAATCTTTGGACACCAAAGTAGAAAGATTAAAAAGTAAATATAAAACTCAATTCAAATTACAGCAACAGAAAGGCATACACAAAGGGTTTTCTTTTCTTAGAATTAGGGATACTCAGATTACCTCTCTTTTCAAATGCACCAACAAATGTGACAATCTAATTTATTCAGGATACTAATTTTGCTCTTGAGGTTGCATTCTTTCTTATTCCTTTGGAATTAATCAGTGGGCCAAGATATATTGTGAGCAACATTGAAGAAGCTACTTTCCCTCAATTTCAACAATGTATTAGAAATTTAAGACAGTTTAATCAATTGCCAGGTATACTCTGATGTACAATTCAAAATTTATCAACCTTTCTCTCCGGAAGTATTTTGTTTAGTAGAAGAGGTTTTCTATAATGGCTGTGGCAGGTTGGGAGGAGACACAGGTGAAACAAATGAAATCAGAGGCGGGAGTCAGTTGAGAGATATGGCCTGAGGCAGGACCTAGATCACAGATGAGGGAACCTCAAATATTAATTGCTCCATAGTCTCTCTTGCTGAGAAAAGACCCTAATTATCTTACCTTTATGACCATCTCTCCCCACTGCACACCCATCCCCGCATACCTTCTTTACAAGCTGCTATTACAATTATCTCTTAGGGGTGCTTAGAGAATCAGTTAAGATTGGTGAAATTCTTGTGAAAGATTAGCAACGATGTAGAGTCTACCCATTTTCAGTTGCTTACCGATAGTTTTATGTTAGCACTGAGAACTGTGGCCATCTTTACCAATTCTCTGAGGCCCAAAGTAGGAAATGCTTTGGACACAGGAAGAATCTGATACAATTATGAATATAATTCTTCATTTTAAGAATAAATTTTCAATTTAAAACTTTTCAAACTGTCGCTTCACAGGCCTCTATATGGCATACTGTAAAAATACATTGGCTTTAAGATGCCAGTTATACTGTCAGAAATACCAATACTGTATAAGAAAAGATCTCCTCATCCTAAAGTACAGGGACAAATATGACCTTGCTTTTAATAAGCAAAGTAAATAACATTTCTTCTCTCATATAAGGAAGACACTTTAATGGCTTCCAGAGTGGAATCAATCAGGTTAATTCTATTCAGGAAGCATATGTTTCATAATACATGTATGCTTATCAAACCCAGGAATTATAATTATTGCTGGAAGAATTAAGCATCCTATGAAGTGGGTGATAAGCAGTGATAGGCAGTCTAGCAAGAGCTGGAGTCTCCATATATAGAAAAACTGATTGACAGTCATAGAGAAAAACCTATTTTATGAAGGTTTTCACCCCCTGTCTCCATTCTGCAGCATTTGTATAAAGTAAAACATCACTGCTTTGGGTTGGATAGATATATTGGGATCTGCTGGGAGAGCTGATGTTCTGGCTAGGCATTTGGAATTTCTTTTTTAATATGTAAGCACTATTCTTGCTATATAGCATGAATCATACAAAGAATATAATGCTACCAGCTTCTGCAAATGAAGTGAAAGGCACACCATTACACGTGATTCCTTCACACGTATTATAGAACATCCCTTTTGCTCAAAATAAAAAAAAATCTTCAGAGGGGGAGAAAAGCAAACACTTCCATTTAGCTGAAATACTGAAACTGCATGTAATTTCCTAAGGTATGTAGTTTTATTTATTTTCAAGCTGTTGCTTTTAAACCCCAGTATTTTGTTTCAGTTCTATCAGCTGAAATGTGCTGTTAACAATAATCAATAGTTTCAGTAGCTTAGAGTTTTTACCATGACATCTTCAAATCTTTCATCAAAAGACCATTATTCAACCATCTAACTGAAAATCAGAGCTGGCTATAAATGTCATTCCTATCCATAAAATGTAGTTTCAACCTCAGGCAAGTGGAATTTATAGAAGACACAATATTAATAGAGAGGGAATGAGAAAATGGTCTCTGTTTTAAAATAACATTGGACTTTTAGTCCTATTATAGTTAAGAGAAAAATGGTATGTCTAAGGTTTTCAGGAACTCTAAGGGAGTTTTACATGGCTTTTAAGAATAAATAGATTTTTTAATGAGCAATAGAGAATAAGCTAAGAAAGTTTCCTCAGCATAATTTCCAACTGATTTTGAAAGAGATTAGAAATCTAAACACAAAAAGCACGTTATTCTCCACACTTTCATAATAAACATAGTTAGGAAACACTGCCATTTTTTCCTTATTGATTCAGAATCTTGCAGTTTCTCATGATGAGAAGTTTCGGTATGAATTTTCATTGTATTAGTACTGTAGATACAAATATAAAATGTATAGGAGATAGATGGATGTATTTTGTTTTATCTTCAATAAGACTTGTCCATGAATTTAAGAAATATTTTATTAAATCCCTATTATAAAATTGAGTCACTGGAACAATCTTTAATTTTGAAAGGAATCTGCTAAAAATAAAATCCACTTAAAGTTTTACTCGTTATTTACCATAGCTGATGGGAATATGTGAATCCACATATTTAAAACTCCAGGGTGGCTTTATGGGCATTTACAAGGCAAGATAGATTTTTTAAATGAAATATCATAAGTCAAATATGTTAGCAGCATATTTTCTAACCATTTACCTAAGAGGGACCAAAAAAACAAACCTTACACTGCATTTACATCCACAAGCCAGAGGAGATACCTATTTAGAACAGTACCTGGCCTTATCTATGCAAACTACCTCCAAATGATCAAAGTAACTCAACACACATTGTGAAGGAGCAAGTGGGGGCTGAGGAGAATGATAAAGCAAGAATGAGGAATTCAAGAAGCTATAAATTGCCACTGTCATCTACTCTATATACAAAGTAGATCAGATCTCGTATCAAAACAGAAGAAAAGAAGGAGAACAAGGAGAGGGAGAAGAAACTTTCCTTACTATGATTTGATTTTGGAATTATTTTTCAACCTGGAATACACTATCATTTTTTTGCCATAATTTTAAGATATTAAAAAACTGAAGTTAGTCCTAAAAATGGATCATATTATTCAAACACTCCAAAGTTTCTTTGTGGTACTAGTAAAGTTCTTATTTCAAGTCGGAAAACTTAACTCTACATAACAAAACTCCAATATGGGTCAGGAAAATTCTATCATGTCCCCAAAGTATTTAAATATCAGGAGCCTTCCTGAACTATAGAATATGATTCACACCAAGATTTCAAGTAAATAAAACAACCTGAAACTTCTGTTTTTGCTGTTTATGCATATGAAATTTTGTAGCAATAATTTTTGTTTCTAGGAAAAACAATTGTCTGAAAATTGTGTGATCATTGACTATGACAAAGTTAGCCATCTCATTTTTATTTTCACAGATTATGTTAGGAGGAAAGTTACAATAGGCCAGATTAACATTTCAAAATGTATTGGAAAGTAATGAAGGGAAACTGATTCAGTTAGCAACACTAAATAAAACAGACAATTCATACAGATGCTTTTCCTATAAAATATTAAATAGACACTCAAAAATGGCAACTTTTTCAAATTTAATAAACCAACCCCTAATTCCTTTTCTCTGAGCAAAGTTTCTTCTTATCAAAGCTCCAGCTTCATGCGCAAATTTTTCCTGGTCAAAACCACACACTATTTAGAAGACTGGGGTGTTAAATGAAATAAGAAATGATTTTTTGCTTCTCCCTCTTTCTTCTTCTAACCCCAAAACCTAAATATACAAGGCCACATAAAACCACTATTTTTGTCCACGGCATATCAACTACAAGGAAAAATGCTGAAGATTCTTTGCTTGAATTCACGAGTTATAAAAGTAGAAACGCTTGACTTACCTGCCATTGTTTCATCAGCTCTCTTACTCCCTTGGAGTCTTCTAGAAGCCTTTCCTTATGGGTGGCATCCTGCAGGACATTGGCAGTTGTTTCAGCTTCTGTAAGCCAGGCAAGAAACTTCTCCAAGTCCAGGGGGAACTGTTGCAGTAATCTATGAGTTTCTTCCAGAGCAGTCTCTCGCTCATTCACTCTGCAAAGGAACAAATGTCCAGATGCAATTATCCTCAAATAGAATGGTGCAGCCAGTGAATCCCACAAAAAGAGCAAAATCAAAGGGACTAAATCATATCATTGCAACAAATGTGAGTTGCTGCTAAAACTCCACTTGAAAGCATCAACCACTAGAACAGCATATGTGTGTGTGTGTGTGTGTGTGTGTGTGTGTATTTGGATTTTTAGACTTTTGAAAGTCCATTTTCCAAAAAAATATCTTTGTTTTAAAAAACATTTTACTTTTGGCTGGGTCAATTTTGAAAGCTTATTTTAATATGCAGCAAAACTTGAAACTAATCTCTATAGGTAAAACCCTAAAATCTACTATGCTTATCTTTAATGTCACCTGAGGCAGGAAACCATGATTAAATAGGCCAGGAGAAATGCAAACCTACAATGGAAAGTTGAACACTGGAGGAAGAAGGAGAAGGGGACTGGAGAACGAAAGGGAACAAAAAGATTAAGAAGTAGAAAAATTACATATCTCATAGCAAACATTGTGCAAAATGTAATCTGCATAACATCAGCATGTTCTAATAGTTCTAATAGTTCTACTATTGTATTGGCTTCCTTTTGCATTACCTGGTGGTCATACAACTAAGAATATTTTCCAAAAGAGAAATTTTATGGGTAATGGAGAAAGTGGAGCTTAAAATCCAGACACATTGGGTTCAAATCCCAGTGTCCTCCACCAAGTGTGATACAGGTTACTTAACCTCTCTGATTTCTCATTTGCGCTACATATTGTATGGATGAGACTGAAAATACAACAATGTGTGTGAAGCTGAGTGCCTCACACATTATAAGTCACATATAGTTGCTCAAAAATGTGAATTCCCTATGCCTACATTCCATTCTCATTTCTCTAATCTTATAGAAGGAATGAATCAAATTCCTTATGACACAAAAATCCACAAAAGAGCTATTCATATTTTCTGACAATATATATAATGCATGTATTGTGGATACACACACGTATGCCCTCAGCAAACATCTACATAATAACAACTTGGGAAGGAAAATTGCCTGAGGCAGTAACAGCCCCATCTAAAAAGATTCAGGTAAATTTTTTCTGCAATAAGGAAATTAGTACTCTATTTAAATGTCGTATTTGCCTTCTATTACTACACACTTTCTGGGATTCAACATAAGCTAAAAATGGATTAAAAAAAACTGAACACTTGAATATGATACACACTGCTTGTTAAGATGTGATTGTCAATAATTATGCAAAACTGCAATTTATTTCAGCAGCAACTTTATCATGGGATGTGCAAACCAGGCAATAAACAACTCCTGCCGAGCTAGCGGCAGCAAAGCCCCCGGAAGAGCTGTTTATTCATCATGGGTGAGGTTTTTGCTGAGTATACAGTCTTCCACAGTGTAGTTTCGTTGTTCATACTGGATAAAAATCTTCTGTCTGCATTAACTGGTGGAGGGGAGAATAGGTTTATGAGGGTGCAGCAACTGGAAAAAAGGAAGCATTGCACTAAGCTATTTATCAACTCCTAAATAAACTTGAATATTGCACAGCTGAAAGGTAGCCTGGTGCTCTGGTTGGGCAAATCAGTTAAACCTCATGGAGTTCAAGGGCTTGCCTGAACTGCTAGTTCCTTGTTTATTTAGTTTTCAGGCAAACTATCAATGCAGGGAGAAAGAGCAAAGTATCTTTTATTATTTATTTATTTAGTATGATTTAAAAATTCAGAACTGTTGCAACAACACTGAGAAATGTAATGTTATAATCTGGTGTGAAACATACAACGTACAGGTTGAAGCCTGTGTAATTGCTAACGTTTGGCCATTTCTGACCAACAAATGGGTCAATTTCAGCCAGTGCTAGCTAATATTTTAGGTTGGCTTGTGTGCTAGAAATCACTAAGATTTACTCCACCTCCAGCTCCAAATTTGGCATAGAAATAAGCTGTCACATTGCAGGAGACAAATGCAGGGTTAGACACTGATGTATTTTCTAACATACTCCAAAGTCACACAAAATAAAAGGGGCAGTGTAAAACTCCCTCATGTCAGAGAATTAGATACTGTGCATTTTATTATCAGCTTCATCATCATGATGAGCTGTGCTTGATGCATCCCAGCTTCTCTAACCTTAAAGAGAAACACCACTTACCCTCGGCTTCCAGAGAAAGTAACTAGTAAATAACTTTCCAAGAGTTATTTGGAAAATGTGATGCACATAAATCAGATGAAAGTGTTCTACCGAGACAATGAGATTTCCAGCCCAATCCTACCACCAAGTTTGCTGCTTTGTAAATTAGGCCCTTAGGGAAGAGCAGTAACTCTTTCAGGACAGTAAGGTACCGTTTTCCTAAACGACACCCTTGTGGCCTGAAATATTGACAACATCGGGTTGAATATTTTCCAATTTGGAAATATGTTAGACAAAATTCAGTGGCAGCAATGGCAGAAAATCTCTTCAATCAGAGGTGAGACTGTTATCTCTGGCTCGTGTGAGAGATTTAAGGCTGCATCCTTTTCCCTGAGATCCATCTATGTACACTGAATTCTTAAATTTTAATTGTGCTAAGTCTAGACTAGATGAGTCAAAGGTACTTGTATGCCATATTTGTGCATTCAAAATATTTCTGAATATATACCATACTTTAAAATTTTCCATAATCGTATGCCTTTAAATGACTTCTACGATAAATAATGTAGCAATGAGAATCATAAAGCAATAAAAAAAATTACCTTGAACAAAACTAAAGACCTTGAACATAGATTATTATTTTTTAATGATAATATCCAAGTTACCAAATTATGGACCCTGGAGAAAATTTGGCTTGAACTTTAAAAGTAACAAAGACCAGATTATCATAAAATAGTAATAATGCTTTACAAATATAATTTGCTGCATTGGTTAAGTACTTTTTTATATAACAAATTTTAATTATCAGCAAGTCCAGGTATAGAATGCACAAAAATAGCTGAGAATTTGATGGCATGTGGAATGGGATGCTGATGTCAGAAGGTTTTATTTCTGTTCATAAGGGCACCATACACCATTCTCCATAGGTAAATATAGGCAGTGTGGTACAGTAGATCTCAAAGTATGTTCCATAGCCCAGGAGTATCAGTGTCATCTAAGAACTTATGAGAAATGCCAATTCTCAAGCCCCACCCTAGACCTGCTGAATCAGAAATTCTGTGTGGAGTCCACCGAGCTGTATTTTAATAAGTCTTCCAGGTGATTCTGATATATGCTCAAGTTTGAGCATCACTGACGCTGGAGAGATCAAACATTGAGAACTACTGGTGTAGTGGATGCTATGCTGGGATGTCCAGACCCATCTTACAGGACTGAAGTATGTTTTGCTTGCGTAACTCAATGAAGCTATGAGCCATGCCACGCAGGGTCACCTGAGACCGACAGGTCATAGTGGACGGTTCTGACAAAATGTAGCCAATGGGAGGAGGGAATGGCAGATCATTCCAGTAATTTTGCTGCGAGAACCCCAGGAGCAGTATGGAAAGACTGAAGGCAAAAGGGGAAGAGGGCGGCAGAGGATGCGATGGTTGGATAGCATCACTGATTCAATGGACATGAACTTGGGAAAACAGCCGGGAGATGGTGAGGGACAGGGAGGCCTGGCCTGCTGCAGTCCATGGGGTCACAAAGAGTCAGACATGACTGAGTGACTAAGCAGCAATGTGTTTTGCTTTAACTCCTGGGAAAGCTGCTGGATGCAGGCAGGTTGCCTCCAATGACTGGTTAATGTGTGGACTTTTTATAAAAGTCTACCCTCCTTGCTCCAGCTTTGGACAATTCGGGAGGGGAGAGGAGGGGAGGAGGATTGATCGATGTTGAAGTTACAAATGAATTGAAGCCCAGCTCCTCCTTCTGCCCTATCTTGCTTTTTTCCCTTTCTTCTCTCATAGGTATTCATCCTGAGAGCACTCTACCAAAAAAAAAGAAAGAAAGAAATTCCTACACATTAATCACTTTCTCAGAATCTGACTTCTGGGGAACTTGACCTGCTGAATTGTCATACTAAATAAAACTTTGAAAAATATACTTGTAAAAAAAATAAAAAAATATATACTTGTTAAAAAATGTATGTGGAGAAATATACAAACACTGGCACAGATTGTGGTCACAAAAGGAGACAGAATGGAGGACTCTCATACTCAGCAATTGAGCCTGAAGAGCTCCTATACCTTTGGTTGCCCTTTAAGGAGATCTGTAGATAAGGCATTATCACCAGTTAGAAGCAAGAATCTACTGAAAGGACAAAGTGTTGGAGCTATAAAGCTTAGTACAACCCCCCACCTGTACAAATCTGCATAAAGTGGAAAAATCACAGAAGGCATGTCTTCATCATCTCCATTTTCTTTTTAAGAACTGATTATCAATGAGGTAATCAGAGTATACCCTGATCTTTCACACACACACACACACACACACACTTACACACACACTCACACCATGATATCTCTGAATAAGTCTCTAAGATTCCAGATTTTTATCTAAATTGAAAATCACTAATTTGTTATGGGTCAACTTAATACATAAAAAGCAAAAGAAAAAAGGGAAGCCTATGATTTTCCAAGGTAAGGCTGAAAAGCTTAATTAATGTATGGACACTATTCCATGATTAGATACATGCAGGAATGATAGTTCATCATTGCAATGTATTAAATGATTACACACACACACACACAAATATATATACACACACATTATATATAACCAAACAGAAACAAACACATTGAATATTTTTGGGGAAAAAAGGCTCAATCTGATATTTTTCCCAGATGTTTCTGAAAGTGTGACCAACTGGGGGAATTCACACCACTTGGTCTTCTGCTAAGTAACATTCTCATCTGTGCCCTGGTATTATCAGGAAGTAACCAAATAAAACACTCTCAATCTTTCCTTCCTGGTTTATTTTCACTTTAACAACTATCATTTCCTATTACGGAAAGTATTACAGGATGATGTGGGGTTTTTTTTCT